AGTATCTGTTAAGGAGATACGGTACAGTCTCTCAAAGACAGACAACTGTACTCTTCTGCCTCTTTTTATCATCTAAGTATCAATAATTACAAAATAAAACAGTATAACACTCTTTTATAAACATTGCACTGTCTTTCTCTGATAATTAAAACCATTATTTATTTTTGAAACTAATACTTCTTGAAGGGCTCAACAAAAATGGGCGTGACTTCTTTATCTTTAAGCATAAAGGATACAGAACAAAAATTATTACTTATCTCACATAATGTGATATGTAACAATATAGAGGAATATGATAAACATTGCATTTGAGTACTAGAAAATATAAAGAAATGCACAGAAGTTTAATTACATCACAGAGAAAAAATTGGGAAGGGCTGGAAGTGACAGGCACACTGAACCTTACAAATGAGAAAGAAGCTGCAAATAATTAAACAATGTTTCAGAAATAATAAAAAAGGATACCTAACCCTGGCAAAGTGGTACACACCTGTAATCCTACCACCTCAGAGACTGAGGTAAGAGAATTCCAAGTTCAGGGCCAGACTGAGCAATTCTGCAAGACGCTGCCTCAAAACAACAAACAAATACAAACAGGGAGCTCAGTAGTAGAGGGCCTGCCTACCATGTGTGAAGCCCTGGATTCAATGGGAGATGGGGCATGTTTGTAAAACATAAGCAAAGAAGTTACTTGTTTGGTGTCATAAAAGTAATTGCTGGAGGCTAGGGATTTAGCTCAGCAGCATAGCGCCTGCCTGGCACAAGCTAGGTCGTGAGTTTGGTTCCTGGTACCAGAAACCACTCCCCCACAAAACAAGTAATTGCTAGACATGGTGGCACATGCGTATAATCCCAGCACTTACAAGGCTGAGGCAGAAGGATCACTGTGGGTTCAAGGTCAGCGTAGGCTGTGATGAGTTCAAGGCCAGCCTGAACTGCATGGTAAAACCCTGTCTCAAAAAGACAAAAACCAAACCAAAGCAAAAGATAGTAATCTCGAGTACACTGATGATTAAAATGGGAATGGAGAAAAAGCTAGCAGCACGTTAGACCAGCTGAGCCCCACACTACATAGAAAATCCTCAGAGCTCTCGTTAACCAACAATAAACTGCTATGGCTAAGAGTAAAGTACACATGGTAAAATTTTTTCCAGAATAAAAATTACAGGATGACTTTTAATAGCTTATAAAACCTAAAGGTTTGAGAGACATAAAATATTTTAAAAGAAGAGAAAAGATGCTCTGAAGATGAATAAAGCAAAGGTTAGGAAAACAGATTTTTCCCTGTTCATGTTAAATACAGCATGCCTAGAAAATGTCTTTTCAAATAAACCAGACATACAAGCTTAAATACTGTATGGTATCTCTCATTTGAGTGAGGCAAAGTACAAACAAAGAGAATAACAGGGCGGGGATGTAGCTCAGCAGCACAGCGCCTGCCAGGCAAGCACAAGGCACCGAGTGCAATTCCTGGTTAAAAAAAGAGACAGAATAACAAAGGATGGTAGAAGGGTACAAGGGGATTGAGCTCTTTCAATAATGAAGTGGTCCAAGGGGACAAGGGCAAGGGGTGAGGAGGAGAGAAAAGGAAAGTAAGTAGAATAAAGACATGCCATGTACAGAAGCCTAACAACCTCAAAGAATGCAAACATCATATGCCATAACATGAGCTAAGATTAGTAGTATCAGTAACAATGAAAATCAGGATGGAGAATTAAAGGAGTGAAGGAGGGGAAAGTGAAGGGGATTTTAAAAAAGAATCAAGCTGTACTGTATACCCACCACTCCCCAAGAAGATTGTAAACTGCATGTACTGCAAATGTACTACTCAAAAAATTAAAAAAAAAAAAAAAAAAAAAAAAAAAAGAAAATGTTTTCTCCTGGTGCTGAGAATTAACCTAGTGCTAAAGCATGCTAAGTACATGCCTACCCCTAAGCTCTCCTCATCCCTCAGGAAAAACTTCACATGAGAAAAAGCCTGTCCACTACAGGTAAATGTGGGGCCAGGGATGCAGCTCAGCAGTGTAAGTGCTTGCCTGGCAAGCCTGAGATCATGAGTTCTCCATTTCTGGTACCAAAAAAAAAAGGCAAATGTGTCCAACTAAAGCACAGCCACAAACACATGACACCCTGGTTCAATTCCTAGCACGGGGTGAAAAACTAGATACAAATGTAAGAAAACTCAACCTAGTAGGCTCAATACTCCGGGCAGTGGGTACAGGCCACCCTGGGGAGTCTCCTGGATATGACATCTTGGTTCAACAACCACAAGCTGTGCTGTGTTGCATGTCAGCTCATGAGTTGCGAAGGCTTTCCTCACGAAGAGCTCAGGGAGCTCTGAAATCTGAACTTCAGATTCAGATTAGAAATTTAAGAAGTAAGATTGCTCACAGTAACAGAGAAAAGGCCACTTTTAAGGTTTTGAGTTTCATGACACAATACATGTGGTTTAACAAAAATAACAAAATCTTACTGATGAGTATGACTGGCTCTTTAATACTGAATGTGAAGCTAAGCATTTGTTTTGTTTTCTATATTCCCCAAAAGGTTTGCACACATAATTTAGCATGTTTCTGGGGCTGGGGACATAGCTCAGTGGTACAGTGCTTACATATCACACATAAGGCTCTGAGGTACACCCCCATCCCATGCCACAAAAAATGAAAAAAAATATAAATAAAAAGAATGTTTCTGAGCCAGCATGGTGGCGCACGCCTATAATCCCAGTACTCGGGAGGCTGAGGCAGAAGGACCAATGCAAGTTCGAGGTCACCATGTGCTACAAAGCTCAAGGCAAGCCTGAATTGCATAGCAAGACTCTCTCAAAAAAGACAAGAATGTCTCTGATAACCTTACCCTTTAGGGACTAACACGATTTAAGACATGTTCAGGAGGAAGAAGTGACAATTTTTTAGAAAGAAATGTCTAGGGCCGGCTCCCTGCCTCGCAGGCACCCAGAAGGAGGTCCCCCAGCACCCGGCAAGCCACGAGGTGAGGAGCACTGGCCCTTGGGCTGGCCCCCAGCCTAGCAGCCACCTAGGAGGAGGGGCTCCGGCACAAGGGAAGCCGCACAGCGGCAAGCACTGTTGCGCACCAGCCCTCAGGCCGGCTGCC